GTTATTACATTTTTTACCTTGATATTCGAAGTGTTTGGATGGTGCGTGACATGCCTGATAAGGCTAAGGTTGGGTGAGGCGGCATCAACATTGCTAAGCATGTTTATTGTTGGATTTAGCACCATAAAGTACCTATTATGATGGCAATAGTCATTTAAATTATCAAATAACACCATTGTACTCATGCGTTAGGATGTGGTTGAGAATGAACGAGGGAGTCGCTCCCTTGCCAAAAGTTAAAATCATAGACCCTATGCCTAATTGGTATGTTGGAGGTTGTCTGGACTTTAAAGGGGGTTAGGTTAAGGGGGCCGACAATATTACAAGTATGGACTGAGATTCTTGATTCGCTTTCTAAATAGTTCACAAAATTATTTAGCTATGAAAAAGTTAAGGTCGGTCGCGCAGTTAGCTGACGTGTTTTGAAGTTAAGCATATAACAAGGTAGACAGATGTAGTAAGCACCCTGTTAATACCTCAGTGGAATAAACTACAAATGGTAGTAGAAGGTGAAAGGCATGCAGAGTGTTTTTTTATGAAAGAAAGTTATGAAATTAAGCGCAGTTAGTGTGACGGTGAAGAGACCGACACTTGAACCATCCTAGTTATCCTTGATAAAGTGATGAGATTCGATTAGTGTTAAACCATTGCTTGAACCCTTCTGAGCTTAGACCATCCGCTTGAATCTATACGGTTGGAGTTACACACTTAAGTCTATCTTCTTGATGTAATTCTTTGGAGTTTATTTATCTAAATTCATTGATTTGCATTAAGTTCGCTTGCATTAAGAATACTTAATACTATTTATATAAGATTATGTACTTAATAATATTCAATTCTGTGGTTATTCAGTCATGACTATCTATATGGATTGTTTATCTAAGTTTATTTATTGGAAAACGACATTTAAGGCCATCTTTATGAACTGCTTAATTTCATTTGTCTATCTATATCTATCTTATTTGAGTTTACACGTTTGGATTGCTCTTAAAAAGGGAGGTAGAGATGTTGAACAGAATCCACACCCGATGCCGATTCGGAGGTGAATAGAGTGACCGAATAATGTAGAAGAGTACACAGTTTACACATTTCACATCAATAAACACACGAGATGCATCATGTGCATCTCTCACAGAAAAATCATCATACATTAGGATACGTCTGCACATGTGAGAGTGATTTTGATCGTCAGACAAAGAGGGATAATCTCATAATTTCAATATACTCAGAGTGGAGATATCCCAACTCAAAAAGGATAATTGTAGTCTCAAGGCCACATATATGTATTCAAAGTTGAACAATCTCAACTCAAACTAAAATGACATAATCACCTTATCCCCAATGTACTCAGAGTTAGAAAGTTTCAACCCAAAAGAATAAAAAATAGTCACAATATCGTCGGATATTACAAGAAGATGTCGCGGTCTTACGAACTAAAATTAACTATGGTCTGAGCTATGACACAACTCATCTCAAAGAGGAGTTCTCTCGCTAACTCGCAGGCCACATGTGCCACAAAATCAAAATTTGCTCATCTCAACGAATAAAGGCTCAGTCTTTTCCCAAGCCTCGTATCACTCGTACATAAATCCCACCTTTCGTACTTCTAAGCTAGGGAGTCAAACTCACACATGCAGAAATCACTCTTTAAACTTTCAACGCCGTGTATATATGTACAACCATCTGGATGTAGAAGGGAAGTAGATCCCATCTCTTTCCTCCCTCAATGTTAGTCTTATACACACCGAGGACTTGAAAAAGTCTTATCATTCACTCGGATGTGTTAGTTGAGATAGATCCTTATCATTGAAATCATATCCTTAAGACCACTCACTGATCCACTTGCTCGTGATACTTAATAAACACGAGTCGAGATAGTCCTAACATACCTCACATGTACAATTACTTGTTAGAATTTATCTCCAAACCACCCATATCTCAGGTCTGCAACTCATGTTACCTTACCAAACCTTATTACTAAAACCCTTTCTACTCTTCATTTTATGAGAACTATATGACTGGTTTTCACGCTCATGAATACGACCTATCCGACTTTCCAGATCTTTCTTATACAATTCTTATTTCCCCTCTATAGTAGTCAAAGGGTAATGCTCGACACTTTAGCTCGCTGAAAAGCCTTCTTCTGATTCCCCTCAGGTATGGTTGGATCAATATAGTTTCTAACCCTGTCTCAGACATCCCCTTCAATATTGGTACTTATTCGGTCATTTGCTTCATCAGTCTTTCTTTCATAACAAAATTTCATTGTGTGCCCTCTTTTGCACAATATTTGCAAATTAAATTCCTCTGATCCGTCCTTCCTTTTGAAGTCGTTGTCAACTTTCTGGATCCACTTGAGCTCGACTCCTTGCTCTCCGGTGGACTATGGTTAGCTTAGGACGCTCACGCCTCCTTCTCTGCTCAACAATATCCTTACCTCTTTCTCTTCCTTGAACCCCATACCACTTTTTCTAGACCTTCGTGCGATGAAGGGAATCTTATCCATCACTCTCTGTTTTCTCCCCAGCTCCACCTGTCGGTTTATCTGATCATAATTCTGATATTTTCGTTTTGCCTCTCTGGACTTCTTTCAATCGAGTCATTCTCAATATCCTCACTTCTTTATGTTCACCGGATGATTCTCCTCGTGCTGACGCGTGTCCAACCACTAGCGAAACTTGAAGGTTTTCACGACGTTGGTTGATACCTCCTTCTTCGGGAAACCTTACCCGTAGAGAGCTCTCGAATTCATCCTATGTTTGTGACTTCTGCACGAAAGTATGTACTTCATTGCTCATCTTCTCACAAACGAATAATGGTAGTATTCTCGACACGGCTCTCTCATCCCACCTTCTCATGAGGCTAAAGTTGAGGTAGTCACATGAAAATTTTGACAAGTTCTTTCCTCGAAACAGCAGGACCTGGAGATTTGGGGTCATAGAGTCGTTTGTACTGACTCGCGCAACATCTTCGTGAGGCATGAGCTCCTCCAAAGCATGATCTTAGCTAGTCCACTTTCTCCAATCATGATGTCGTTGCTAACCTGAATACGCACGACAAGTAATGAATCATCAGACTATGGCTTGTGAAAAGTTCAAAACAAATAAGGGCAAATAACATTGTCAATATTCAATTGCACTACCCCTTTCATCGTCCAATTGACAAGGCTTTAATCCTTAGTTACCCCTATACTAGCCTTAGGGGTACAATGAACATCATATATCCTATGCAGACAAAAAATTAAACAAAACTATTGGTCAGTAGTAAAAGTTGTCGCATCTACCATTAGTCACTATACTCATACTCAGTAATAAGGTGGCCATAGATGAACCCCTATAAATTTTGGTCAAATAATGGGCGCACTTGGTAAATATGGAGGCGTCCTCTATCGACATGTTGTTGCCCAAAATGCATCTCATTTTTCAACCATTTTGTTTAGGTCATAGGAGTTGGCATTGACGTCAATAATATTGACCATATTTTTTAGCCCCTGGCTAGAGGGTAAGCACCTTAAGACTAAGTACACGCCATATATCATATCGCACGTATAACGCTTATGCCCCCATCCTCGCGCCATGAAGGCGGCTTCCGCTGCTGCCTATATCCTTGCCCGTCCTCCTAAAAACTCCTTTACGAAAAACTTGGGCGAGACGGCTCGTAACGGGGTTGAAGGAAATAGAAACTCCTCGACACGCCTCGCTTATGTATGAGTGAACGTTTGTTCTTTACCTTCATGAAACTTTTCTCTTGTTCACTTTGCAGCAGTTGCCTTAAGTATCCTTAAAGACCTTGCGTGTAGGCTCCCACGACAACTCAATTTCATGCTTAACCCAAAATGATGATGAGGCGTACATGGTTACTCTCTCAACCGCTCTGTCATGATTATCGGCGAAACCAGATTCAATCAAGACGAAGATATCTGAGCACAGTGATGTACTTCATTAGAAGAAGATATATTTTCCTTCCTTAACTCGTCTTGGCAAGGTTATTTTCAGTCAACCCCTTCTTTGAACTGACAAGGCCATATTGGGATCCTCCTTAGTATATGACATCTTAACTTGCCTGTACTCTGTTCGAATTTTGCCTACCATAGACAAACGTCTAGCATATGCTCTCCATTACTATGTTGAAATTTCTCCTTTTACAACCCCCATTTTTTAAGTTTAAACTTCAAGTTGTGTTTTACAAAAAAAAATTTCTTCCAATGTTTATGATCATCAAGCCCAAATTAAATAATAATGATGATATACCGCAATAGCAATGCACTTGCAAATATCAAAATTCATAGTGGTTATTACCCTAAAAAAGTATGTATTACTTTAGTAATGACCATAATGGATGAACAAATAAACATTGTATAAAATAATAACTAACCAAATTATGTATGCGCGTCATGATGATGAGATCTTATACCAATAGTTACAATAATAATAGACGTGTTATAGTCAAAATGAGGTTTGTCAACAATAAGGACTATCGGCCTCAATAATAATGAGTGCATTACATTATACACTTTGGGTTTGACAAAAATAGATTGTCGTCGAGGAGGAGTGTAATCCTTTTCAAAATGGATAACGTCTTAAATTTTTAAGCCCCGGTCAAGGATCAAACCTCACTGCTTCTCCCTCCGATTCTAGCGGTTGTTCCTTACAGACCCTTGCCGATAAAGTGGACAACCTTCTCTTACACAATTTGAGATGACATGTTCCTTCGCGTGCAGATGAACCTACTTGACAAAAAAATAGTTGGGAATTCACCCCCTATGTATCTTGTCGGAATACAATGAAAGAGGGATAACATAACGTGGATTACCATTCTCGTCCACACCTTTGTCCGCTCGAATGATCGACTGGATGTGATAACTTAGCGCCCCGCTGTGTGGGCCAGATATACTGAGGTGCTCTGACGGTGGAGACACTTCTAGAGAAGACACCGTCTCGCATTTCTGTAGTGGGAAATGAAAAATCGACAGAAATGTCGTTCGTCAGTCGTGGTGCCACAAGATGGCGTGCGCATCCCGTGACCAATCGTCATAACGTAGATCCAACTCTTTTCATCCAGCAGCGTCTGCTAGACTCTCTGCCCATGTCAAACACTCTCGACTATTACGATACGCGATGTCTCTCGTGCAGAATCTTGGGTCCGTGAGAAGTGACAAGAGAGCATTTATGTCGCTCTGCGACATACCGACGCCGCCTCTGGCGGAGAAAATCAGTGCCGCCAGCTTGCAAGAGATGTCAAAAGATTCGACAGGCTGTGGTTGCTTCTCTTCGAATGTCCCGCCCTCCCTGTCTGCATTCTCGGGGGTCCCGACGTCCTCGCTCTCATCGCTCACGAGATTCACTGCACCTATACTTGATGCTCCGGCGTCATCGACCACACCCATCTCCTGACCATGTGTTATTTCGTCCGTCACGGCCGGGCATGCCCTCGCATGATGTGAGTTCAAAGTTCGTAATGACATGAAAGGCCTGCCACAGTCGCACACCCGTTGACCGTTGTCCATTTTCAGTGCACACAGTGCATTCCAAAAACAAACAGAGCGGTGCGGACAGTGTTTTCATTAGCATTTTGTACATTGGTTCATGTCGTTAGAATTATAAGTTGCAGAACATATTTTGTTATGTTATGTAAGTGTCGCACATCCTCTTCTCTATGAGAAAGAGATCGAGAGGGAGTACTGATTGTCGTTTTTGGTACGAATGGTCTGTGTCGCTGATCCCAATTGACAAAGATTAGTAGTCAACCGTGCGACACAATAATTTATATGCCATGACAGGTTCTATGGTCGTGTAGGAAGAGGCAACGACTTACGCATGGTACACGATATATGACACAACATTCATCATCGCGGTTTTGCGGCTGACCAAGTTCGTAACTATCCATCCACGACGTTTGTGAATGTGGTATGTGTTTTTCATGTCCGCGTGAAAATGGTTCCACCTCGGCACCTCAGCCGACCTCCGCACAAACTTTCAAAACATTTAACAACCTACTACATTTGAATTTAAATTACCGAGACTGCAAAAAAAAACACAACATACACACATTGGTCATCACAGGGGGTCTGATGTGTCTCACGTAATCCAATGGCAACAAATTATGACATACATAATAACAATCCTCCAATGATTGAAATATTGTTCAATCCTGTGTATGCACGCGCATGTACTTGGAGAGGCAAACAACAGTCAACATTAAATGTAACCCGCAGATGGATGTAGAGGTTCTAATATAGCTACAACTCAACATATGAGAAAGAGAGAGAAAGATATATATATATATATATATATATATATATATATATATATATATATATATATATATATATATAGAGAGAGAGAGAGAGAGAGAGAGAGAGAGAGAGAGAGAGAGGAGGTTCACTAGTGCGGGCCAAAACGACAACAAACAGCACCGGTGGACACTGATATGGCACGCAGTAGTGAACCYGACCGTCGTTGAAATTGAGGCAGACATAGAGGGATGTACAGGTTGAGGGATGCATGTCTGTCATCATCCCTGATGTCTTACATGGTCTGTCGTGGTGTGTGGGTGTGTCTCCGGTCGTTGCAGTGGCCGAGCACTAACTATTGTGTCTCCTGTTGACAAGCCAGGGTGCAGTGTCTCTCCCCAAGCTGTCGCCATTGCGCCGTGTACGAGGCAACTCAGGTTGACTCCCCATGTCAGTGACGTTGCTAGCACAACCTCTCTATTGACCAAAACAAACCATCCCTTGCCAACACGTGACCACTTTTTCCCCTTGTTGCATGATTTCATTATGCTGGTCACTGCGGCATAATGTAGTGCACCATCTGGTGTTGCCCCCTTCATCACAACACGCATCACTTTGTGCGGATTGGGAAAAGCACGTGCCAACCTCAGAATTGCATGTGCCCACTCTTTTGTCACTTGTCCACCCGCAACCTTCAAATCATAGTATACATCATGTTCCTCGTCTTCCTCGTCGCTGCTGTCATCACTGCCGCTCACTTCCACGTCAGAAGATGATGCCCCCTCATCCTCTTCTTCATCTTGTTCTTCTGCACTGTCTGTGTACTCTGCACAACAACTTGGCAAATCGGTCTCTTCAAATCCACGATCACACTGTTCTTTCTCCATTGTGAAAGCATTGAAGATATCGCAACACACTAGCTGCTCTCTCGTTGCTGTCTGCATGGGAGGCACATCGACTGCCATACTGGTTATTGATTCTTGTGCTGCTGATGTCTGTCCGTTGTCTGGAATGATTGCTAAATTTGTTTCTGTGGCCATCACCTTCCACCCTTCTTCTCTTTCTCTTTGTCTCTCAACATTGCAGCTTGCAAGACTGAGCCGCTCCAAAGCAACTGATAACAACTCCCCCCACAACAGTCTGCCAGATATGATGTTGTCTTTTGTTATTGCTGGCACAAATTCTATCAGATCTTGACCCTGCAGTGCAAACTCTGTCACTTCGTGCAACGCCTCATGGATGACGTTCCTGTCGTCGTCACTCTTTTTCATGAAGTCCACAAGTTGATCCAGCAGAATATATTCCACACCATCTACGACAATGACAAGAACTCATATCCACAACGACTATGAAGTACCTCGGCACCCTGTCCTGAAGCAAAGACAACTCGTTGTCACTGTTGTAGTGGACACTCTCCTTTGCATACTTCATTACCTCTATAGGAGCAGCTTCCACCTGTGCTACTGACATCGACATGATGCATACGGTTTGTCTTTCGTCCTCTTCTCTCTGCCAGCGGAAACACACAATGATATCATCGACATGTGTGTGTGTGGGGGGGTGGGTGGCGTCTATGTATGAACCTATGTGGATGTCTGTGTGTCTTTGTGTATATGTCTATGGATGTGTGTGTATGAATCATCTGTGTGTGTGTCTGCGTGTCTGTTCCCAAGTTGGCTACTGCGTGCCATTCGAAGTCGCAACGGTAATCATTCGTCAGTTTCTGGCACGCAGTAACCAACTTTAATGGTGCATGCCAGAATGTGTGTGTGTGTATGTGTGTGTGTGTGTGTGTGTGTGTATGTATGTGTGTGTCTTTCTGTATATGCCTGTGTGTGTGTGTGCATTTGTTATGCGTGTTTGCTTGTGCATGTGTTGGCGTGTCCGACTTCAGGTTGGCTACTGCGTGCCATTTGAAGTCACAACGGTAATCCTTCGTCAGTTTCTGGCATGCAGTAGCCAACTTTAAGGGTGCATGCCAGAATGTGTGTGTGTGTGTGTGTGTGTGTGTGTGTGTGTGTGTGTGTGTCTTTCTGTATATGCCTGTGTGTGTGTGTGTATTTGTTATGCATGTCTGCTTGTGCATGTGTTAGCGTGTCCGACTTCAGGTTGGTTACTGCGTTCCATTTGAAGTCACAACGGTAATCATTCGTCAGTTTCTGGCACGCAGTAGCCAACTTTAAGGGTGCATGCCAGAATGTGTGTGTGTGTGTGTGTGTGTGTGTGTGTGTGTGTGTG